ATAACTGTACGTACGTCTAGCTATTTGTCCGCTTAAGACCCACTGTCCAACTAATATTAATTCGATTCCTATATGTACACACTAACACCCTATCCTAAAGTCATTATCGGTCCTCAAAACAAAGCTGATCTAATGCTGCTCTTGGTTGTAAACTATTCAACACATTAGCAGATCTCACTCAAAATCCCTCCCTCACTCATACACGTCACATTCATTCGGATCACACACAATCAATCAGAACAAAACAAACTCCTGAAGTCAATACCTTACACTAAACTGGTTCCGTGTAAGGGTACCTCAAAAGAAATAACGTTGGGCGCCATTTGTTGTGTCAACCTGGTTTTCACCTCGTGTCTTCTAATGCCCTCCATGGCACGGTGGCAAGCCCGGAATTCTCGCCGGTATTAGGGTTGGGTCTTGGCATCAGTAATCCACACTGACATTAGCAAAAAAATTCTCGTGCCATGTATTTTGTTATGTTTACGTGCTACCATTAAGGTAGTCTGCAGCGAACTGAACTTTGTTTAAAATGCATAAAACTACAAATATAATTTAATAGAGAGCGAGTTGCTTGTTTCGTGGTGATTAGCTAGTGAGGTTGATTTTGCAGTGGCGTTTTATTTGGTGTATGAATTGGTTAATTCAAATACATAACATTATCCACCCCTTAAGTTCTGAAATCTTCTGATTGAAATCGGCATACTCGTTTTCGTGTGCGTTCACTTCTGCGCACAGAGGTGGGTGTTTCTAGAATTTGTTGACCTGCATTTGTTTCTTGAAAATTTTGAGTTGTTTCTTGTTGTGACGGTTCCTTGATGGTTGACTGCTGCTGTTGTTCTAATGGTTCATCGATGGTTGACTGCTGATGTTGTTTTGATGGTTCATAGGCAGTTGGTTGCGGCGGTGTTGACTGGCGCGCTTGAAGTTGATTTTGATGACGCTTACATTGACCAGTCTGTGTCTTAACTAAGTAGACCCTTTTTCCCAAAGATTTCTCAATTATTCCTTCGACCCATTTAGGACCGCTGCTGTAGTTGCGTAAAAAAACTTTACAATCCTTGCCGAATTTTGTCGTCACTGGTTGCTTTTTTGATGATTTTGTAACCGGTAAAATCTGCGTAAGAAGCGTTCGAACCGTTCTGCCGTGTAGCAACTCTGCAGGAGACTTATTGTTAGAATTTGGCATAGAGCGGTAGGTCACTAAAAATTTGATAACTGCTTCACTAATTGGCATACTGTCATCAAGGTTTTTCTTCACAGATGTCTTGAAAGTACGCACGAAACGCTCTGCTAAGCCGTTTGAAGCCGGGTGAAATGGCGCTGTCGTGACATGCTGAATGCCATTTTTCAAGCAAAATTCCTTAAACTGTGAGGATGTAAGTTGTGGACCGTTGTCACTTACTAACGTTTCCGGCAAACCCTCTATGGCAAAAATTGATGTTAATGCCTTTACTGTATCAGTAGAGGTTGTATTTGACAATTGGACAATGTACGGATACTGTGAAAATGCGTCGACACATACGAGCCACATATGCTGATTGAATACCGGTCCGGCGAAGTCAATGTGGACACGTTGCCACGGACGTATAGCTTCGGGCCACGAGCTAAATTCCTTTGGTGGACTGGCTGACGTTCTTTTACATATGTTGCATGACGATGCGAGTGTCTCGATGTTTTTGTCGATGCCCGGCCACCAGCAGTATCTTCGAGCTAATTGTTTCATTCGAACTATGCCCCAGTGGCTTTCATGCAACAGTTTAAGGACGCGTTGGCGTAGTTTTTTTGGAATTATAGCCCGATTTGAATAGCCCTGTAAGCAAATAATGTTATCAATAATAACTAAAGCAGTATTACGTTGGAAATATGGTAATATATCTGCCTGTTGTGGTCCTACGGATATAGGCCACCCTTGTTGTATGAACCGGTGAACTTTCATGAGAGTTTCATCCCTCTTTGTATGAAATCGGATAACCTCTGCATCAATTGGGGTATCCAGCTCTTCGACTGCAAAACAATTGTCCTCTTGATCAAAGTTGTTATCTGGGCCTTCTGGTAGTCTTGAAAGGGCGTCAGCATTCCCGTGTTGTGCTGTAGGTTTGTATTTTATGTCGAACTGATAGGCCATTAGAATTATTGCCCACCGTTGTAGTCTATTTGAAGTCGTTGTTGGCAAGTGTTTTCCTGGATTAAAGATACTCACCAATGGTTTGTGGTCAGTGAATAGAGTGAACTTACGGCCATACAAGTATTGATGAAATTTTTGAATGCCAAATACAATCGCAAGCCCCTCCTTTTCTATTTGACTGTACTTTACTTGATGAACGTTGAGTGTCTTTGATGCGAATGCTATTGGGCGTTCGCTGCCATCTGCGAAGATATGCGAAATTACTGCACCAATACCTGATGATGAAGCGTCTGTAGCGAGGATTATTGGTAAGTGCTCCTGAAAGTGAACTAATTGTGTAGCATTCACTATATGCTTCTTTAAGGACTTGAACGCCTCTTCATGTATGTGTGTCCAATTAAAACGAATATTTTTCTTGCGAAGCTGATTTATCGGAGCAGCGATTTGCGACATGATTGGAATGTAATTGTAATAATGGTTTATCTTACCCATTAGCGCTTCCACTTCTTTCAGATATTCAGGCCGTTTTAAGTTTTGAATGGCTGTTAATCCTGATGGTTCTGGCAAAATGCCTTCTGCGCTTATACGCCTTCCTAAGTAATCAATGTGGTTTTGAAAAAACTGCATTTGTTCCGTTTGCACTTGATGCCATACTTCTTAAGTATTGAAAAAACTTGATCTAGTCGTTGTATATGTTCCTGTACCGTGGTTGACGCAACGATGATGTCATCGATGTAATTTCCACACCCGTCGATACCTTGCAGAAATAGTTCAAGATATCTTTGAAATATTGCCGGCGCACTGGCTATACCATAGGGCAATCTTTGATACTCGAAAAGTCCATTTGGTGTGTTCACGACAACCAGCTTTTTTGAGTCTTCGTCTAACTCCAACTGTAAGTATGCATCCTTTAAGTCAATTTTAGAGAAAATACGGACATAGCGAATTTTATGAAATAACTGCGCCCGTGTTGGTAATGGAAACCCTTCAATTTCGATTTGACTATTAATAGTTACTTTAAAGTCCCCGCAAATACGAATACTGCCGTCCTGCTTTGGTGCGAGTACGATTGGAGAAGCCCAATTGCTAAACTTAACAGGTTTCCAAATACTGTTTTGCACTAGTCGATCAGCTTCCACGTTAAATTTTTCAAGTAGGGCGAATGGCACCTGACGACATTTAAAATATTTTTGTACAGCCGTAGACTTGATGCTCGCTTTAAAATTAGAAATCGGCCCTGTAGTCGGTTCAAACAATTAAGTTTTGAATAATATTATTCACTTGCACAATATCGTAATTAAAAACTTCAAATAAATCCATGCCAAATAAATTTTGACCACTTTCGACTTTAGCAACAACCAGCACTGCTTCTTTTTCTAGTTTTCCACATTTTATTTTTATTTCACATTCGCCTAAGGTTTCTATCACCTTTTTACCATAACCATAAATTGGACGTGTGCAACTTCGAAGTTTTGGCCTGCCTAACTGATTAAATGTCTTTTGCGTTATGACCGAAACCGATGAACCTGAATCCATTTGAAAACTTATTGTTTTATTTAAAATTTCCACATTAATATATTTTTTCTTTTTAATTTTTACTTCTTCTACTGTCGTATTATACACACTTTCAATACATTCAATTGCGTTTGCTTAAGCACTATTCTTTTCATTTTTTTTCGCTGTAATTTTTAATTTTCTTGTATTTGCTTTGTTGTTAATGTTGCTCAAGCACACTTTTGCTATATGTCCAACTTTATTGCATACAAAGCAAACAGCTTCTCTAAATTTGCAGTCGCTACGTCGATGAGAGCCTCCGCAGCTGAAACATTTTTTCTTACTTTTCTCTTTTTGTGCTCTATTTTTTGCATGTGACGTGATTTCATTAACTAACGGCAAACTCTCTTGGAGTTGTTGTTGTTTAATAGAATTTGTAGCATTTGTCGTCGAAGTAAAAGACTCTGCAATTAATAAAACATCTTCCAATGTAGGTTTTAATTTCTGAAGTGCCGCTGCTCTTACGGTGTCATGAGGTGTATGCAGAATTAACATGTCCCTAATCATTTCATCAACATATGATTTGGTACAATTTTCACCTATACATTGAAATTGGCATTCTCTAGCTATTCCTCTTAATTCAGCTATCCATTCCCTGTATGTTTGCGTTGGCTTCATCAAGCACTTATTAAAATTATACCGCGCTGCTACCACATGAATTTGTTCTTGGAAATGTTCCGACAGCTTTTGCACCAACTCAGCAAATGGAATGCCCTCCAAATCGTTTTTCCCGAATAATTTTTTCAATAACTCAAAAGTCTCACCATCAACCCATGTTAAAAAAACGCTTTCTTTTTGAGCTCTGTGGTGACTGCATACGCCGAAAAATGTTGAGTCATCTGCTGCATGTAGGATTCCCACTTAGTGTGCTCCTTTCCGAATGCTGGAAATCTTGGAACCAATGTACCTTCATTAGTACTTGAAGTGACTCCCCGTAGTATTGTTTGTAAAAATCCTTTTTGGTCATCCAAAAGGCTTTTCATAAAAGCGTTCTGATCCGCTATTATCTTAGCAAACTCGTTTGCCATTTTGCTGAAGTTTTTTTTTTATTTCGCGATTACGTGGTTTACTTCTGTTCGTTTGGCCTCGTCGCCAGTGTTATATTTACGTGCTACCATTAAGGCAGTCTGCAGCGTACTGAACTTTATTTAAAATACATAAAACTACAAAATATAATATAATAGAGAGCGAGAGAAATTTGTTGCTTGTTGCGTGGTGATTAGCTAGTGAGGTTGATTTTGCAGTGGCGTTTGATTTGGTGTATGTAATTGGTGAATTCAAATACATAACATATTTGTATAAACAAAATTTAGTTAAATCTAAACTGCTAATCGCGTCGGTCATATTTACTTCCTAGTACACTTTGGTCTTAGTTATTGGTCGAATGCCAGAGCACACTTCACCCGTCCGTACCACCCCTTTAGCAACTTATTTTTTGAACATGGTAAACATAACAACAATTACAATATTCTTTTATTAGGTGCATTTTATTTTATTTCAACTAGTCTTTAATTAGATACAAATAAAATTATAATTATTATTTCATAATCTAACAGTTTATATATAAACAATAGCAACTTTATAAATTTAAGTATGATATTAATGATATCAAGTATGATAAAAAAAGTTTTATACTAAAAAAATAAATATATATATACCTATACTTAAATTAAACTATACAAATAAATGTTTATTTATTTATATTTATTTTGTTTTTTTTGTTTTTTTTTATAAATAAAAAATACAAAAAAAATCGAAATAATAAAAAAACAAGAAGAACAGAAAAAAGTATGTATGAAGTAAAAAAAATTTTTGGCTAGTTAGGCACTTACCACAACTGCCCAAATGACGTCACTCGCTGTCGCTGTACCTAGACAAAAGTTTACAAAAAAAAAAACAAAAGAAATGCTACTTTTTTTTCTTTCTTCTTAGTTTCTCTAAACCTTGAGTGATATTAATTTCAAACTTATGTTACTCATATTTTGATATAACATATATTATTATTATTATAGCTTCTCATTTTTAATTAACAATATAATTTACAAATAGCAATATGATTATATATAATTTAATTATTTTTTTCTATTTCTTCTAAATATTCCTATATACCTAGTTAACTAATTTAACATTTCAAATTTCTGTAACAAAAAAATCGTTATTAAATAATCATATAACTAAGTACCATATGAGAATAACAAAGATCTTTATCGGTATTACATACATTTGGGTCTCCAATTCTGCACTTGCAGTCACAGTAATGTTGCAAGTGGTATTGGCGTGTACGGTGAAAACTCCGCTACTGTCACCGCAATGTCTATCGCCTTGCAGCTACTGCTGTTTATCTTGATATTGCTTCGCCGTTGTATGTCGCCAATAAATTTTGACTTCTATATAAGTCACTTCTCACAATCCTTTTATGTTTTAGTTCACAAATTTTCTCACGAATTAATTGTTTTATTTACTATTCTGAGTTCTTTTCATACTTTCAAAAAAAATTATTGTTTTAGGCTATAGTTTAACTTCTGCTTTAATTTAATTAAAGATGGTTTGTTTTTCACGAAATAATGATTTTAAGATATACTCTAACTTCACTTTTAATTTAAATAAAAAATTATTTTTAGCTAGCACTTTAATTTTTTTTTCAATTTAGGTTTTCAGGAACTTGTTGTTCCAGTTAATATTTTTGGCTGTCGTTTTAATTTAAATCCAACAGTTCTTCATAAATTTATTATTTCAATTAATACGTTTCCTTTATTTTTAATTTTTTTTGTTTTTTTAAATCTTTTATTTTTAATTTAAATAAAAGTAACCTTTCACAATTTAATGGTTTCAGGTAACAATTTAAATTATTTTAACTAGAACTTTAATTTTTCTTTCAATTTAGGTTTTCAGGAACTTGTTGTTCCAGTTAATATTTTTGGCTGTCGTTTTAATTTAAATCCAACAGTTCTTCGTAAATTTATTATTTCAATTAATACATTTCCTTTATTTTTAATTTTTTTGTTTTTTTAAATCTTTTATTTTTAATTTAAATAAAAGTAACCTTTCACAATTTAATAGTTTCAGGTAACATTATAACTTAATTTTTAGTAATCATTTTCAGTTCAGCTTAGAAAAGGAACGTCATCACTTCGCAAAAAACTATCAAAAAAAAGCCTCCTCAACCGTGCACTACCATTTTTATATTCTATTTGTTTTCGTCATCATCCCGTTGATTCCCAAATCCCGCACAATTTTCGAGGTCGTTTTTTGAACCCCATGTTAATACGGTTTTTTTTTTCTTTCCATTCCGTCCTTTGTACATTCCGCAGATCCCACCTGCATTACCCACTTTTTCTTCATAACTTATTTTACTTACATTGTGCATTGCTCTGGCAGCATTGATCACTGCAACTCCTAAAGCTTTCGCAGTCACTTTGATCAAAACAAACCAAAACAAAAAAATGTACCAAAGCTTTTACACATTTCTTTATTTTGACTGTGCGAGCAATGCACATTGCTAATTTTTAGTGAGTGAGATAACAAGCAAACAAAGTAATTATATATATATAAAAAAAATTATATTCTAATATAAAAAAATTATTCGCACAGCAGTAAATAAAACAATGGGATCTGGAGCGGATTCAAATGGTGAAGTGCACGCTCACCTAATAAAAGAAAAAACAACCAACGGTACGGACGTTGGCCGTACTTATGGGCGTCGCGGGTCAACCGAGGTAATGTCTGTAATATTCTTTTATTCTTATTGTATTACCATTTTATTTCCACACAGGCCTACATAACACACTCTATAGATAAACTCATTCATTAAATTGTTTTTTAAATCGCTCTCTTTTACGTGTGCACCTTCCAATATACCTAAGTATTTATAAAAATCTGTTTCACCCATGGCTTGAATATGCATATTCTCAAAGCTATGTCCTTCATGCGACTCATGAACACCTCTTCGGATGACTCGGATTCGGCATTTGTCCAATCCAAATTCCATCTGAATATCTTTACTAAACATATCCGTAAGCCGCAATAAACTTTTAAGATGGTCATCAATTCCAGTGTATAATTTAATGTCATCAAGATACATTAAATGACTCAACTCACACTTGCTATTTAGCACTTTATATTTGATGGCAAAGCCATGTCCCTTAGCGTTTTTTAATAACCATGAGAGAGGGTTTAATGCCATACAAAACCAAAGAGGACTTAGCGAGTCTCCTTGAAAAATATCTCGTCTTATTTGTATGACGTCTGATAACTTAACGTCATCAGCCGTAGGTACCGATAATATGGTACTCCACCCTTTCATGACTACCGTCAAAAGTTTGATTAACTCAGGATCTATGCGGTATAGGCGTAAGACATTGATCAGCCAAGAATGTGGGACACTATCGAATGCCTTAGCATAATCAATAAAGCAACTAAATAAGTTTCTTTTCGCTCTTACTGCTTGTCCTACTGCTATGGTATCGATTATCAGTTGTTCTTTGCATCCCTTTGAACCACTACGACAGCCTTTTTGTTCTTCGGTCAATATATCATTAACCTCTAAGTGCGCATATATCCTTTTGCTAATCATCGACGTTATGAATTTATAAAGAGTCGGCAAGCAAGTGATAGACCTTGTTTGCGCTGGACAGTCAACGCTTTCCTGTTTTGGAATAAGATATGTTACACCAGCGGTGAGAAAAGACGGGAAATTTTCCGGCCTTTTTATTAGATTTGTTATAAGCCTTGCAAGTTTGTTATGGACCCATCGAAACTGTTTGTACCAGAAATTCTGTACTTTATCCAAGCCTGGCGCTTTTCAATTACTAGATTTTACAATGGTTTCTCGTACTTCGTCCTCAGTTACTTCCAAAAATCGCATTGTGGCAATATTAGCATAACGATTATGTTCGGCATCTATCCATTCTGCACAGCGCACTCCAATAGTTCTTTGCTTCTGTAGCTGAGAAAGATGCATATTGTCTAGTGCTGTCAGATGAACCAAGTGTAGAGAAGAACCGACGTTGACTTTTTATATACATAGAGTTCTGAACACGTCTGGCGTGTGACTCTCCATATCTCCGTAAACGATTACAAATAACGCAGAGTTTTTGCTTTAAAATATCCATAAACTCTACAACTGGTGTGTCTCTATGAATCGCAAACTGCCTGTATATTTTTTCTACACATTTCTTTAATCTACTATTTGGTCGACTAACATTATATGCTGTTAGTTGACCAATGTGTTTACGTAGCAAATCTCGACGACGCTCAAGACGAGCCATCCATGGCGGAATACGTTTTTGTCCCGCATCAATAGCAGACGTTTGGATCTTTTGACCATGCAACCTAATTGCTGTTACTTCACCACAATACACAAGAGATTGTAAGTGTAGAAGTGTAGTATCTGGGATAGAATATTTTGCGTTGCATTGGTTGTATGGAGCCTAGGAATTTTAGGCCGATGCAACGGATCATTTTCAAAGTATTTCAAGTACGCTGTCTGAAACTCGTCTCGGATATTACTCGAGATATCAGCTGGGCGATGAAGTAATGTGCTACGGCGAGTATGGTATTGATTGTTCACAGGACTAGAGCGGCGTAAAGGTACAGTATCCGTACTATCAACCACTGACTCTTCGAGCTGTTCGGGTAACTTCGAGTCGAATGCGGTCCCTGGTGGAAGCTGGAATCTTGTTGCTTCGCACAATGAAACGGTATTGATCTGAGGCTCTCCGAACAGTGACATGCGGATATTGGGGAAAACGTTCAACAAATTTTTGATGTAGCATGTGACGGTATGATGTTAAGCCTGTCAAAGAAATTTCATAGTAAGCACGGATAATGAAGGTATTCATTTCATCTGTCCATTTCATCCGTTGCCTACTAGCACCTGATGAAACGGTCATCCGTAAGGGTGAAACGTTTACATCAGCCGGAGCGATGTTATTGCTCCTCCCACATTGTGTGGTGGAACGCAAAACACGACTATGTTGTGATCTGTGCAGATTTTGGTCCTCAACGTGGTCAGGCTGCCTATTCCCGC